GGGGGGGGGCAGAAGAGGGAGTTTGAGCACAAGTAGTCAGGTCAATTCAAACATCTGTAAAACTGGTGAAGTTGGTGTTCTAGAATTCCGCCACGGAAAATCGCCATGTAAAATTTTAAAAAGGCGTTTTTGCCACTTGTCTTCCATTTACAACCGGCGTTGCGAAAGCTGCGTGGACATCGTTCTTATTCTTAATTTTCGCGGGAGAAGGAGGGCCTACACGAATGTTCACTGAGAGGGAACAAACAAATTTGCGGAGCAACAGCTTCGTACACGCAGACGGACGATCGTCAACCAAACACCTACCAGCACTCAAACTGGGTGACGCAGAGCACAATCAACGCCTCCCTCTCTGAAAGTGTCGTCACAACCCCAACGTTGTCTATGGGATAACCGGAACGAGACGGAAACTGGCACCAGGAAGTCCTCAGGACCGTGTCTCGCATGTATGCGGTTGAGTAGGGTGGCGAACTCAAGAGTGAAGGTGAGGCTACCCTAAAACGTCGGCCGGAATATCACATATTTTGTAGCCTCTATTTGGGTGCGAACCATTGGCAAGACTAAAGACTGACATGCTTTAGCCAACCCTAGCCCTAACCCTAACCCTAAGACCAACTAACCTGCTTGGAGTTTCGGTCGTAGTCGTATCCGCCCTCTGGGTTTGAGACATGCTCATGCTCACCGCCGGAGAGTCCGACACAAGACTCATAAGGCTCGGTTCCCCTTCCTGGTATCGGTGTTGTCGGTGTTGATTCGATATCGTCGTCGTCGCCGTCCGTGGTCGCCGATGCCATGGATAACCGCACAAGGAAAACAGAGAGTTTCGGAAAACAGGAGTGGGCAGCAGAGGTGTTCGGATTAGCGTTACGGGGAGTCAAGCAAGCGCAAGACAAGGATAATTATTTCGACTGAAAGCCTGCCTGATGTGACACGCTTGACGGAATCAACCACCGCTCCGCGGCGGAGACAAGCATACTGTAACCTCTAGTTGCAGGGAGCACCGATCAGAGCGTTCTCTCGTGTGCTGTGCATGCATGCTACTGATATCGTAGGAGGTATGACCAGCTCGAGTGCTCATTAACTCCGGCGGAACGGAATCTACCGTATGCATAGGTGACGCAAGACGCGGCGTACAGGACCTGGAGTGTGGGCTCAGCGAAGCCTACCGGCAGCACGGGCTCATCGAGGATATGAGGAGTGAGCTGCGGCGCGGTTGTTTGGTAGAGGGGGTTCAAGAAGGAGACATGTGGTAGCTGTTGCTTTGCCGAGAGAGGAGAACAGAATCTAACCGAAGCAACGAAGGATAAGGAGGGTCTAGATGACCACGACATGTTGAAAGAAGGAAGAGGGTTCAAGGAGTACCTACATGGACCAATGGATGCAGGAACAGCAGATAGTGGCGGCGCCAAAACTGGCAAAGTTGGAACCGTCTCATCGAGAGCTGTCCGAACATGTACCATTCGATTTCATACATCCTCCTCTTCGTCGTGAGTAATCGACCGTCGAAAATCGGTCCAGGGGGTGTGATATCTAACGTCATATCACCTACGGGGTACGCTCTCTCACCAGAGGACCGTGCAGAGAGGTGAGCGGGGCGTCTTCGATGAGGGAGAACGCGGCGCCGTCGATGACGAGGCAGCGCGGCTTGCAGGACTGCCCGTTCTTCTTGCAGGCGGCCATTTCGGCGCAGTACCGCTCGAACTCCGCCACGAGGCGGTTCTTGACCGCCGTCGGAGTGGGACACGTCTGCGCATAACGAAGTGGAGGTCGATCAACAAACAGGGAATAGGGTTACTCAGGCTAGGGTTACCTACGGAGAGGATGCAAAACAAGATCAATCAACAAAAAACAGGGGGTAGTGAAAGAAGCACAGCAACGTCGATCAACAGGGATTAGCGTTCTCAGGCTAAGGGCTACCTGCGGTGATGATGCACAACAAAGTTCATCAACAAACACTGGTTAGGGAACTCAGGCTACCTACCGCCTACGGTGGTAGCAGGGGTATCGGAGTGGGACACGTCTGCGGAAGACGCACATCAAAGTCGATCAACGAACAAGGTGAGGGTTAACTCAGGTTTAGGGCTACAGTAGTGTTGCCAGGGGTATACTTTGTTTGCCGGCTGCCAACACCACCACCTAGAATAAGGTTGACGACGTCTTTGTGAACACCAACAGCAACATCGACATCGAAAACAATAAAAACACCACCACCAGCATAGCAACTGACACGAGTTTCATGTCAAGACAACAACAACAACAACAACAACAACAACAACAACAACAACAACAACAACAACAAACCTTGGTGTTGATGATGCATCGGTCCATCCTATCCTCCGCCCACAGCAGCTGGCACGCCACCCCAATGTTGATGGCCGTCTCCTCCTTGTCCCCCGTGATGACCCACACCACCATCCCACCCCTAACCATCTTCTCGATCGTCTCTCCCACACCCGTCTGGAGCTTGTCTTCGATCGCCGTGCCTCCGATCAACGTCAAGCCCTGCAGGGTAACCCCCCCCCAAAAAAAACTCAGTGGAACACCGCAAACGTGATATAGGTGGAGGATACACACTTTCGAAAAGATACGAAAAAGGATAGTCCACTCCTTTCGACTGTAGCTCATCTCGAACGAGTAGTCTTTTAGTGATTGGATGTGTGGAAGTCTTTTGCCGAGGACGCTTCTTTCTAAACGAATTTCCTGGAATATACGATTTGCTCATTATAAAAGTATCTAGGATGCGACGCGACTGATGATAACCATTCTGACCTTGTCCGGCAAGGAAGATAAGCGGAGGAATTTCTGAACATTTTCGCGTTGTAGAAGAAACCAAGCAGGCGGAGCCCTCGCGATCGAAGCGCCTTCTTACTTTTTGTGGACAACACACCGAACTAACTGCCTTTTCTGCGTGACTAATGACCACGGCCCCTAAGCTACAGCAGGCGCGACCACGGGACGCGCGCACGCAGAGCCTGTTGCGAACGCAAATGCAATGTAGAGGTCCCAGTCTCGTGTCGGTACTTGCCCCGAAAATTCGCCTGCACTATACCGGACACATGCTCGTTTCAAAGCACAGAAATGCACACGGAAATCTAGTGTGTGCCCGACGAAAACACCGGGGTTTTATACCGGGCCCCCCACTGCGCAACGAGTCATGCGTTTCAGTCGTCTCATCTTCGCTGCTCGAAACAGACTCTGCCCTGCCCGCGGCCCGCTGTAACTGAACAACGCGAAGAACACAAAAAGAGTCACGCACACTGGCCCACGTAAACCCACCCTCTCTGCCTGGGCCATGAGATCGTCGATTCTGTTGGGCCTGCCGGCTTGCTGCTCCGCCACCTCCGTCAGGTCGTTGATCGCCGTGTCATACGCCTTCCACAAAACAAATATAACGTGCATGTTGTTGTCTTCATATTGAAAACCGTTCGGATATCTCTATCCAGTACCAGTTATCTGTCCGAATTGATCCAACACTTGGAACACGACAAAAAGAAGCAGGCATGACACATCGCAAACAAAAACACCGAAAAAAAGTACAAGCAGGCATGACACATCGACAAGAAAAACACCGAACAAAAGTATGAGCAGGCATGACACATCGAAAAACGAACACCGAAAAAAAGAAGCATGACACATCGAAAAAACAACCATCCAAAAAACGTAGAGCAGGCACGACAAATCGAAAAAACAAACGCCGAAATAAAGAAGCAGGCACGATGCATCGAAACAAAAAACAAACGCGGCATGGCCACCAAAAAAAAACACGTCTAAACGACGAGAATGACGAAGAGAAAGGCAGACAATCACACCTCGTCCCAAGCGTCGAAGTCGTCTTCCGGGAAGTCCTTGACCCCCACCATGAGCGTGCGTAGCCCCTCCAGCGCAAAGCCTTCCAGGTGCTCCATCGTTGTGTCCAGCATCTCCTGCCAAGATTTAACGTGTTGGTCTTCGTCATATCAGTACCGCAGGATGGGTGTGTAGAGGACCTCAGGGAGAGGAGCCCTTCAGTGTAACCACCGGTTGGAGAAAACGGCACAAGTGCTGTAAGCGCTGGTTTGAAGTCAAGACATGAGGCAAACAAAAAAAAATCAAAAACGCTCGGAAAAACAGGCCACACGAGAGATGCCGAGACTACTTTGATGTCACTTGAATTGAGGACAGACTGCGGCCACCACCACAGGTATAGAGTCATGTAGATACCTACGATGCTGCGATGCCAAGATTATGGGCGCGTACGGACGCGACATTATGAACAACAACGGGGAACGACTTCTCCGACTGGCAGCAGACAACCGACTCTCCCTGATCAACACCTACTTCCGGACACCGAAAGGAGGAGTGCAGCATACGTTCCAGAGCTCCAACAAGGGGAAGGAGAAGCACCGCCTCGACTTCATCCTCATGCGACAGACGGACCGGCGTCTCGTACGTAATGCCTCCGTCAAACGTGTCGATTTCAAGGACTCTGACCACAACCTGGTGCATACGACTGTCCGCTCCCCCCCCCGTGTCGCACCCAACCGACGAACGCGGGGAAACAGCGGAAGCAGCCGGATCCGTATCGACCTCGAACGGTTGAGGAAGGATGTGCACCTACGGGCCGTCTTCCAAGACAGGGCTCTCAACCGCCCTCCGCCCACGGCCCTCAGCAGGCCAACGGGAGAGACCGCCGCCGAGCTCACCGCTGTGGTGATGTCGGCCGCTGCGGAGATCGCGCCGCTGGCGAGGAGCGCACGAGGGAAGGGAGGATGGTACACGAGCGAAGCGCAGCACGAGATTTCCGAAGCGTCTAGGGAGATAAGAGTGGCCCAACAGCAGCTGCGCGGGGCCTCAAAGAACAGCGACTTAGAGACGACCCTGAAGGCGAAGCTCAAGGCGGCGCGGAAGAAACGCAGCAGCGCGAGGTGGAGAGCACTGGAAAAGTTCTTCGAGGGCTATGTGAGGCAGCTCGAGAAGAAGAGCCGTGAGGGGGACCAGGCGGGTTTCTACAGGCACCTGAAGATGATCGACGTCGAAGGTAAGAGGCCACTTACCTCCCAGAACATCAAGGACGAGGACGGTAAGGTCCTTCGGGACCCCACGCTTACCCGCCAGCGGTGGGCGCGGTGGTTCCACAAGCTCCTTAACACCAAGTCGCCGACCATCGACCTGCATGCGACCGACAGAGTCAAGCAGTGGCCCACGTGCGTTCCGCTCGACGACATCCCGTCTCTATTCGAGGTTGAGGAGGCGGTGCGGGGAATGGCCAACAGGAAGGCCGTCGGGCCGGACGACCTACCGGCTGAGCTGATCAAGCTGTTCCTGGATGGAGACCGAGGATTCCTCCGCGAATTCCACGCCATCGTCGTGGACGTGTGGCAGACGGGGAACGTACCGCAGCAGTGGAAGGACGCCACCATCAAGGTTCTGTTCAAGAAGGGGGACACGATGGAGTGCGGCAACTACCGGGGCATCTCTCTCGTTGCACACGCCGGCAAGGTGCTGCTTAAGGTCGTTGCAACACGCCTAAGCCACTACTGCGAGCGAGAGGGCATCCTCCCGGAGGAGCAGAGCGGTTTCCGCCCACACCGGTCGACGCTCGACATGCTGTTCGCGATCCAGCGGCTCCATGAGCTCGCGAGGAAGAAGAGTACTGCGGTCTTCGCGTGCTTCGTCGATCTCACCAAGGCGTACGATTCGGTGGACCGAGATCTGCTGTGGGACGTGCTCGGACGCTTTGGCGTGCCCCCGAAGATGCTGGCGGTCATTCGCCACTTCCACGAGGGCATGAGGGCGCGGGTTCGAACGGACGACGGGCAGTACTCGGAATGGTTTGACGTCGGCCAAGGTCTCCGACAGGGGTGCAACCTGGCCCCGCTGCTGTTCAACTTGTTCTCTGCCGCGATGCGCATGGTCGCAGTGACCGAGTTCGACAAGGACCCCAAGGTGACGGCGGATATGATCAAGATCGCAACACGAGTGGAGTGCACGGGCAAGAGGGGCAGGTCGGCGGGGAAGAAGGCGATGATGGTGACGGTCGCAGAGGCCCTGTGGGACATGCTCTACGCTGACGACGCGGCCATCGTCTCGCTCACGCCGGAGAGCCTCGAAAAGATGATGTCCATCATCGTGCGCGTGGCCGGCCTGTTCGGACTGATGGTATCGGAGCCAAAGACGGAGATCATGTGCATGCTACCGAAAGGGCTGGGGGAACGCCCGTTCGCGGTCAGCGCCGCTGGCCAGACGTACAAGCAGACAGATCGGTTTGTGTACCTCGGACGTACCATCTGCGCGGATGGGAAGGTCGACCGGGAGATCACGAGCCGCATCTGCCGAGCATGGAAGTGCTACCGCCGGAACAGCACTTCGATGTACGACAGGAAACGGGCCAACCGCCAGCTCAAGATCCGACTACTCCAGGCTGAAGTGGTGCAGACCCTCCTATACGGGTGCGCCTCGTGGAGCCTGGCAGCGGAGCACTACACCAAGCTGAATGGGACCCACCGCCAGTTCCTGACACGGTGTATCGGCTGGAGCAAGCGGAAGCGCTCAGACCGACCCCTGTCCTACGCCCAGGCCCTCATCCAGGCCGGCTGCGAGGAAACCATCGAGGCCACCGTGCGCAAACGGAGGCTGTGTTTTGCGGGCTTCGTTATGCGCATGGAGGACAACCGCCTCCCCAAGCGCATGCTGCTGGGAGCGATGGCGGGGGGTACCGGATACCGGGGCGGGCAGGAGAGCGACTGGGTGTATCGCCTAGGAGAGGACCTCGTGGCGTTTGGCATGAAAGAGGAGAAGGAGGGGGGGAGATGGAAAGAGAGCGCCAAGGACCAGGAGGCGTGGTACGACAAGATCGAGGACGGGGCGGCATGGTTCATGAGGAAATGGCACAGACAGGAGGCGGAAGCATCCGCGAAGCGCCAGCGCCAGCGCGCGGAGGAAGCAGAGACGGAGAGCACGGCCGCCCCGGGCCCGAAGAGAAAGAGAATCGGGGAAGCGGGGGGGGGGGGGAAGAAACGGCGACCGGACACTGCTGTAGAAGCGAGTAGGGCGGCCAAGGCCGCGCTTGCGGCGAACGACGTACCCAACTGATGATGTTGTCGCACCCTGTGTTCCCTTTTCCCTGCCGTAAGCTGTATGCTCTTAGTATTGCCTCCGGCCTCTCTTTGTGCTTTTCTTCTTTCTTTCTTTCTTGTTCTCCATGCCCTCTCTACGATGATCTTGGACGATACCTCGAGCTCCTTGTTATTTTTGTTTTTTCCTTTGCTGGCTGCCTGCCACCTCTGCTGCCTCTTTGGTGCGGTGCCTACCCTACACTAATGCGCTGGTGCATACTGCACTGCTGTAGTACCTGGTACTGGTGTACGTTGTCCTTCGATTTTTTATTTTTTTTGTGGGAATATATATGTGTTTGTTTTTCGCCCCCCGTCTTGCTGAACCCCCTGGGGTGTGGTGCAGGGCGGGGGATGCCTGGTCGGCGGGAACCCGGCACGGAACCCTCCGGCGTTGTAGGCGGGTGTGGGAAGCGTTCCCCGTTCTCCTTTTATTTTATTTTGATCGGTCTCCTCGACGCTCTTTCTCGTTTGGTGCGGTAGCTGGTCTTTCTTTCTATCATTTTGTTTCTCTTCCGAGTGGTTTTTGTACCCTATTTTTTTCTGTTTCTTCGTGGGGTCGTGTATGCCGGGTTTTGAGACCACGGGCTCCCAATCTTTCTTTTTTTAGAGCTAATGTGAGAAACAACAACAACAACAAAACAACAACCTACAGTGCCTTCGGACCTCCTGCCGCCAAGCGTACACTCCTACAGCACACCAGGCACTGTTCTTCTTGCGAGATGTAACCTTTATGTTGGCCCAGTACGTGAATGAATAAAAATCGTATTCAACAGCGAAACATTTCCAACGCCTGGGGTACTTGTGTTCTCAGTCGAAAAACAAAACGCATCGGTTGAAAGCTTGCACGACAGGAAACGACGTACTACCGACTCCTCACGGATGACAAGCATAAGCTAGCTCGTTACCTTCGGAGTGTCCTCCCTGAGCAATGGCACCATGGTGGTGTCGGCCCCCTTCGCGAGAACCTTGACCTTGCCGTCTGGCCCTCGGACGACCACAGACATTCTCTTCCGCACGCTGTCAATGGTAGGGGCAAGATTGTGGTTTGGAGTCAATCATTTGAAACAATCGCGGAAACGATCGCAATCGATTGGTTTGATCGGGAGAAAGTTGTCCTCTTCCGCACGCTGCCATTGCTTGGGGCACGAAAAAACATAGAACGAAGCGATCGTGACTGATTGAGTGCCACGGGACAAACGAGAATTTCGAGCCACCTCAGACATACGCCCACGATTGACTAAAAACACATATCGGCGACGGTGCCTCTTTATCCTCTTCTTTTGCGACTGCCGAGAGGCTGAGCAGCGAACTGCGCAACAAGTCCAGCACAACCAGCGAGTTCGTTCACCTGTTGAACCCGAGAATTCGTAGGACGTCGAACGTCTCCTTCGTAGATTCGCCCGAGGGCGAGAGCGGGGAGGGCATCTGAAAACGAAAAAACACGCCCGTAAGCGTGCATGGACAAGATCGTATCAGAGATGTACTGTGCTGTACAATTTTCGTTCGATGTGGCCCTCCGAGCCTAAACATGTGGGGTTGTTCAAGCTTGGACTGCAACGCCACAGCTGGCAGTCAGCTCTTCGAGCGATATTTTCCATGCTGCACCGCCCTTGGCGCACTGCCGTGCTCTTGTAAGCCTACTCAAGAGGGAACCCTCAAATACATACGTGGCGTCCCGTAGAGGGAGGATATTCAACAGCGGCCTCTTCTTCTAAGTGGGTCCTTTTTTCGCGATTTTGCACTTCTCTCTCCCTCGGTCTTACGCCACTTGTTTTTTCCTCTTTCTCGTGCATTACACCATGTGCCACCTTCCACGACCGTCAATGAATACGCATCTTCCGCGTGCCACATCATACAAACGAACGTTACATTTCGTACGTCGCCAACACTGACCAACAAGACAACGACGTCAGCGACACAACAAAAAAACGTTACAGCAGTGGTGCAAGTGCAAGGCCGGTGCCATACAGCCGATTCCACAGGCATTACAGCTGGCAACCGACAATATTCAGAGTTTGAAACAACTTGAATATTCCATCTGTGCCGGACGATTTCACCGGCATTATACAGGAACCACTACTGTACCGCAACACGAGAAATCCTTCACCGCAACCGCAACGCTTTACCGGTGTTCGACAGATGATCGCCGTGGTGTCGATCCTCTCCGTGAACTCGGCGTTCAAGTACTTGGCCTACCGGGCCCACTACCGTACCGTGATATGTAAAAACCGTCACCGCAACCGCAACGCCTACCGGTGTCCGACGGATAACTGCCGTGGTGTCGATCCTCTCCGTGAACTCCACGCCGAAGTACTTGGCTCCTAGAACAAGAGCCTCGTCATCGGGGCTAGACGCTGACAGCACGATCTGTGGCAAGGCAAAGACACGGGGAAAGTGGTCATGGCTAGGGTATCTTCCGCCGCAACAGAGGAGAGTCCTTCGGTGGTAGGAGAGGGTTCACAGCTGTGAACTTGTCGCTGCCGGTCTCTCTCGAAAAAATGACGCAATATGCCGTCGGACAGAGCCTAGAGCATGGACCAAGGAAGTCCTAACGCGAAGCTGCTTTGAAGAAGGCAAAGAGAGAACCGAGCTACAGTAGCTACGCTTGCTTGCTTTGAGAACAACTTGACCACAATAGTAACTCCATCACGGCACCCAAAGTCATCAACCAAGCAGGAAGCAGTGGTGCCGTTGCCCACGTTGGAGGTACCCAAACACTACCACAACTCCCGAACCGATACCACCAGCACATACAACACCAGCAGACGCCACAGCCACATCCAACAACAACAACACCGACATCGACATCAACAGCAAGGACAATGACGACAACAACAACAACAACAACAACAACAACAACAACAACAACAACAACAACAAGCAGCCGCAATGGCAAGGGCAAAAACAAACAGGTCAACTTGGCACCCACCTCATCACTGTCGTTCGGCCGCTCGGGGATGACCGTGTGGCAGAGGGCCAACACCGTCAAGAACTCTGTCAGCGGGCCGGTACCGTCTCCACTATCCGCCTTCCGTGTACAAATTTACACACCATGGAACGCAAATACCCCAAGACTTGTCAGGAGTTCGCACATATCATCTGGCGTTAGTGCAACCCCGGGCCATCGCAGGGTTGCCGACGTACACGAAAAAACAACTGACTTGGAGACATATACCCCCACAAAAAACAAAAGAAACAAATGGCTTTACCTTCAATGCAAAAGAAGGGAGAAAAAATGTTCGAACAACAATTCACTAGATACAAAAAAGAACACGTCAAAAAATTACAACCAATTTCACTACTACAGAAAAAAAGAGCAAAAGAGTTTCACATGAAAATTCACAACAGAAAAAAGAAAAAGTTTGAGAAACATTATGACATCAGAGAAATAAACTAGTTGTACATATAAGAACGCACCTCTGCATGAAGATCTCGAAACATGACGGGGTCGTAAAAATTGACGTGGGGGGCTGCGAACTCTTGCGCCATTTGCTCCGCCGACAGCTCTTCCTGTGACAGCTCAACGCCGTTGAGCTTGTTCGCAAACCGGAAAATTTCGTGTGACAAGTATGAGGAAGGAGGGGGGGGCGGAGAGCATTCATGTAAACGCATGTCGCAGTCGTTTCAGCATTGACTTGTCATCCCTACAACGCCGGCCGGGACAGAGTGATAAGTCCGGTTCTCGTTGGCCCAGGCTACGTTTCGCGAGGGTGTACCAGAGCCTCGTCACCATCCTTGCGTTCGCTGAACCAAACCAGATATGCCAGGGGTTGGTTGGGAGGGAGCGGGAGCTTGTTTAGCTCGCAGGCATCACATGAAAGCCCCCCAAAACGATCAGGCAGCGTCCATCCACGCAACAAGTCGTCAAGAGCTAACGCTAACTCTTGCCCCGCTGCCTCAAATCGACCCCGACATGTGTACCCATCTATGGTAAGTGACACAAGATACCACACCCCTTGTGGCCCATGTTCGAAGCTCGATTACTCCAACGCAGAACCAGCGGCGATGCCGAAAATGGCGGCGTTAGAACGTCGCGAGTTTTCCTAACATTAATCAAGCGATTTAATACATCACCTTCGCCGTGGAGTAATCGAGCCTTGAAAATCGGATAAAGGGGGGTGGTATCTTTCGCCATGTCATATACCGTACTCATCGTCAACGCTCATCCCTGTTCGACAGATTTATCGATCAACACGAGAGGCGACGATGCGAGCGGCCAGCCAGCAGGCACTTTTTCCAATTTTTTTCACGTCAAGACCGGCGGGTTGTTTTTCTTTCATTTTTACCTCGAGAGCCGCCTGACCGATCTCTGTCATCCCCTTGCCGTAAGACTTGCCACCGACGGTACACTTCCGGAAGTCCATCACGTTCTGGGTCAGGGTGCCCGTCTTGTCGCTAAACACGTGCGTGATCTGGGATGTACCGCATAGTACAAACGAAAACACACGAGGTACGGGTCAGCGCCTGTCGGGTCTTGTGGCTGAAAACGTGCGTGATCTGGGACGTACCGCGTACAAATAGAAACGCACACACCTAACACACGAAAACAGCAGTCCAGATAATCCGGCTGAGCGTGTGCTTGATCTTGCGGCTGAACGCGAGGGTGATCTGGGATGTACCCAACTACCATACCAAATGTGAGTTTGCTGGACAAGATGCTCCTCGTGATTTGCTTCCCTACATGTATGCGAAATACCGCACGCAGATGACCCCTCTGGCTAACTACCGCACCTGCCCTAGATCCTCGTTCAGATTCATGGTGCGGACCCTGGAAGGGGTATCCGTCGCTTCGTGGTACATGTCCAGGTCTTGATCCATGAACCATGACTGTACCGCAGCAACAAAAGGAGGGGAGAAGAGGCAACAGACGGGGTGCGGCAACAAGATGATGTCGGATCACAAAAAGTATTGATCCTAAGAGAAAGACACGGGAGGGGATGCACAACCGGGTGCGTCTACAATTTGGGATTGATTAAACACGAATTGTTTGTTTGACAGCGTCTACTATAAGCATTTGTGTGTGCGCCTTATGATGGCGACTCGTTTAGCCCGTGGTTCTCTCCGTAGCCTAAGACAACGGCGGAGGAGGTGCTCTGGATAAGAGGCAAGGACGTCCGTTAAACGTGCACAAAGCAATAACATCAACCGCACCCAGCCAACAACCACCGCCGTCACCGCCACCACCTAGCAACAACGACGACGACAAGGTGAGGCTCCGGGACAAGGTAGAGAAGAACGGGAAGGCCTGGGTGCTCTCGACAGCCTACCGCAAATATGTCGTCGTTGTTAGTACTGCTGTCTTCCCGTACAACAAACCGTTCCGGTCTCTCCTCGGTGCCTTCTCGCAGCATCCGTAACGATCCAACTGACGCGGACGCCTTCCGTGGCCACAGGCCAGCAACCCAAAAACACACACACGACGATTGTCAATACACAGAATATGACGACACTCAAGCGAATGGACAACTACAGCCCAGCTCACCTGGAAAAAACGGATAAAGTTCTGGCTGACGTAGAGCGATATCGGCACGAACCCGTACAAGAGGAGGAGGTAGTAGAAGAATTGCACCACGAAGTCGGCCACCAAATCCGTGTCCAGCATCAACACCTGTGGTTGATGAGAAACAAAAAAAATATGTAGGAGAAAAAAGAAGTATTTGGTTGACCACACCCGGGCCTCTAAAAACCCCAAAAAAGGCCTAAAAAACAAAACAAAAATTACGCAAGTTTTAATTACATTACACTTTTCTACCATTGATATATTTTCGGCGACAAACCGATTCATTCCTTGCTCCAAAAAAGTGTAGGTTGTGGAAGACAATAGTAAATTAATAAGCATTGCAGAGGAATTATTTTTACTCTGTCGCACCCTCTCTGCTACTTGCTCTTCTCTGCTGACGCGAGGCATGTTGCTAAATCTGCTCTGTTCTCATTCGAAGTGTTGCTCTTACTACACCACCTCACCTGTGCACGAAACTCATCATGGGCAGACTGCCAGATGGACGAGCCCATCGCTCCCGTGAGGCAGAAGAGGAAGAGCATCACCGCGAGGCCCTTGATCTCCTGTTGGTTGTTCCGGATGGGCAAGCAGACGTAGTACGATCGAGAAACCATGAGACAACCGGAAAGCTGACGACTCGAGCTCCAAAAAAACAGGGAGGCGAAGGACGAATAAACTGAAGCAGGAAAAATACCAATATTTATTAAGGCGTGCTGTGTTTGTAAATATTAACGGTTGTTGGTGTTTGGCAAGATACATGGGACTAAAACCATCAAGACCAAAACAAATAGCAGCGCGACTAAGTAACCACCAACGAAAACAGCGCAAACATTCCAACCTGAATGCAGAGACGTTCCAAGGAAGCGAAGCACAGCCTCATGATCCCAAAACCCAACCAAAATAAATCACCTAACCGCATTTGACAACCTAAACACAGTTGATTTACTCCACGACGAGACAAGTCAGAGCAGAGAAGCCAAGCACCCACCGTGTTGACCCTGGTGTTCAGGTGCGAGGTCTTCTCAGGCGCCTTTGCGATGGACATCATGACCTTCGTGTCGTGTCCCGTGCTGATCACCAGCCCTACGGCCCACTGGACAAAACATTCGCCACCACACACACGCGACATCGGATCACCAACAAACTCATCGTGAAGGCTTACACAAACTCAAAATAAGCCCAGTTTCCAGTCGGTTTTATCCACTTACTGAAAAGACTTCAACACACTACTTTCGACTGAGGTAATATGTCGAACGGGTAGTCTTTCCGTGAGGTTATGTTTACTTTCTAAAAAAAAGAAACGATCTAAAAAACACACGACATCTTAGCACCACAACAAGCGATCAACAACACATGACATGCAGCACCATCAGAAACGACCACATACGGGCGGCATCGAACAACGACGGCAAATTATCAACAACACACGACATCGCATCACCACCAACAGCAACAAAACATGACATCGTAGCATAACAAAAAATCAACCCACACATGGCTACCGCGTCTTCAATAGCAAACGATCAAAAACACACAACATCTTAGTACAACAACCCATAGAACAGCAAACAAGCGACAAGGGTTGACAAGGGTTGATTGCAGAAAACAGGAAAAAAACAAAATTGGTCGCAAAACCTGAAATACCAACATCCAGGCCTATCCACTTCTACAACTCGGAAGAAAATCGGGCAACACGTTCCGGGAATTGGACGCTGCCCCTCGTGCCGCCCTCATTGTCCTGAGTGCCGCCCTCATTCTTCTGAGTGCCATGGTAACTTAAGTCACTCTTTGTAGGAGGGATTGTGATTGCGTTAGGAACTTGTAAGGTGTTGGTTGGATTGTTTCGCGTCACGAGTCTGGGGTGTGCGTCATGCCGGCCGCGCAAAATGGATTGGTTGATGTGGTCAACCAACGTACGCGACGGTAAGGGGAAGCTAACATTGAGCCACCAGCGCCACCACGAAGACACCAAGCACGGAGACAGCAGTGCTCGCGCTCTGGCGCTGAGACAAGTCAGTTATAGTCCTTCCATCATGCCCACGACCGAATACCTCGACACGTCGACAAATGTGATGGATTCCCATCGCGTTGGTGCTGTAAAAGTGTGCGGTGTTCATTTCTTCGCAAGGCCTCAGGTCGTGCTATAATCAAACGTGGTTCTCGACACCACCCGGTTGCTTATAGCACGACCTGAGGCCCGGAGAAGGATATAATGCCGCACACTACACAACACACAACGCGATGGGGATCCGTCACGTTAATCGACGTGTCGAGGTATTCGGTTGTCGGGATGATGGAAGCACTAGACCAACAACAACAACAATCATCACGAACGACATCACCTACAACAACCACCAGCGATGAAACAAGACCCGCCATCAACGACAACAGCATCAACAACACAGCATCCCCTCCAATGATCACGAAGGACAGCAGTACCAACAACATCAACAACGACAACGACAACAACACAGCCCTACAACAAAGACAACAACAATATCCCCTACAACAACAACAACAACAACAACAACAACGACAACGACAACGACAACACCACCGTCAACAACACACCTTGGTGTTCCTCAGGACTGTTCCGCGGAGCAGAAGGTTCTCCGGAGTGACCGGCTCCTTGACAACAGTCCTACTCTTCCTCCTGCTGCCGCCCCCCGCCGCCGCCGTCGAGCTAGTGGCGCCATCGACGGCGCCATGAACACCAACACTGGCGGCTCCGCCCCCGGGCTTTAGGGAGACCTCCAACGACCCCGTGAAGGATGCGATCGCCTTGTTCGGGTGTTCCCTGCACAGAGGGGGGGGGG